GTGCTCTCCCAAAACTGAGCATTCGGACACATCTTTTTTTTTCTTCTTCTTCTTCTGTTTTTTTCTACAATCATGTCATGTCTTCTACACATCATGTAGGTGTACAATAATGTTTTTACAGTATTGTAATCACTACAGATCGACATTCTGAATTAAGAAATGTTCTCCGCATTTTTAAAAAAGGCTGCGTTTTACAGTGCATAGCTGTAACAAATAAAGAACTTTGATATTTACATAAAATAAAAATATTCCTTTTTTTTTTATAGTATTTGTAAATACACAGCTACAATTCTCCGTTAAATGTAGACAATGATGTTACCTTGAGAATTTCACCAAACTCTTTGTTTGCGATGTAACACCGGATCCAAACACCAGATTGAAAAGGGAAAAAAAAAAAAGGAAAGAATAAACAAACAAAGAAGAAAACAAAAAAAAAAGGTCAACAACAACAACAAGAAAAAAATAAATCTGGCCAAACAAGCTGCGTGTTTTCACTTCCTCACCCCAAAAGAATTGTGGGTATTGTAGTGCTTGGAGCAACAACAACAACAACAAAAAAACAAAAAAAGAAAGAAAACCAAAAAAGAAAGAAAGAAAAAATAAAGTTCTTTTTCTTCTTTCAGCAGTAGAGTGCACCAAACCCGTGCAGATTCTGAGGGTTCACTGGCTTCCCAGAACGCAATGTCTCTTCCCAGCTCTTCAGCAGCTATGTTCATGTAAACTTTATTTTTGATATATTCATTTATATTGATATAGGTCTATAGACTTATTCTTATATACTCTTTGACAGAGTGTAAAACTTCTGGTAGTCTCGTCATCAAAGGAGCGAGAAACCACCGTGAGGTATCAGAAGTCCCTCTTTGTGACAGACAGCAGGTGCCACTGAACAGGTTACCTTCTCAGGCTGTGCTGGGCCTCCCTCAGCAAACTGTCAAAATCCATGGAGTCGTACTTGCTTTTTGTGGAGGCTGGATCGAAGTCGTCTGAATGGGAGTCTGGAAATGGAGCAACAAGGATGTGCGTTTAGCGTGAGGCGGAGCTGCATTTCTTAGAAGTCGCACATAAAACAACAGGGTTCACCTTTGTGTTCTCGGAAGTGTTTGTGGTGAGGACTCTGGGAATATTCTGCACTTACGGTCACGTGCGGCTCTAAAGTTAAACCGATAGTTTCTATGCTTCCTGCGTTTTAGCAACAGACCAATAGAAATCACGCCGCAAGGACAGAATGCACTGCTTTTCTTTATTTTTTACACAAAGACAGCAGATGTGTCCGTCCATCTCTCATAGCTCCTGTTTTTCTCGATCAACCTGATAATACATAAAGAGCATCTTATCTGTGCCAACAGACAGCTTCACAAATGGGGCCCCCCCAAAGGACTCGGCAGCACACACCTAGTGCTTTGAGAAATGGGAATGACCGTGGCAGCTGGGAGACGCCGGTTTGATCTAATGCAATGGCCAAGGGCTGGATTGTGTCACGCTGCACACCTTGAGGGATGAAAAATACCCCGCTGCTCTACTTAAAACTAATGGACAGTGTCTCTGAAAAGAAAAAAAAAGACGAGAAGATGGGAAGAGGTTTGGATACCTCGCTATTAAAAGATTCTCCCTTCCTCTCAATCTCTTATCCCGTGCTATCAATATGGGGGCTGACCAAAATAGCCCATTCCTGACAAAGAGGTTGTCGAATGAAGGCCTTTCCATTCCAGCAGACTGATTAGTCAATCTCAGTATAATGTCTAACCTCAAGGCTTCAGGATTAGCAACTGTTTCTCTGTGTGCCATGCACTCTTTTAAAAGGCTAACGGCTTCAAGCGTGTGCTTTGAAGATGTAGAGTAACCGCCTCATTTAATGGGAAAATTGCTCTTTTTCTCTTAAAATGACCCGCTGACCCTCTCGTAGCGTCGCATTTTACATTTCTGACCTCACATATTGCTTCCAGAGCAGTCAATACTCATCTTTCATGTTGTCTCCGAGTGGAGCAGATGATCTTTTGTGTTTGTGCAGTACTTAAAATAATGGGGCACATGCTACTTAAGTCCCAACACTGCTTCGCTTCTCAATTGTCACCACCTTTTATCAAAGTGCATTTCTTTCCTTTTTTCACATGTCAGAAGCGGGGCATCACACCAGAAGAAGAAGAAAAAAGCCTCGATTTCACAGATAAGCTTGCATTATTTATCAAATGCGTCACTGCGGTTCGGGTTTCTGATTGAGATTCACGTGTCGGGCCAGTATAGAAGCTAAGCATGTTTACTCTGAGGAATAACTTATGTTGAATGAGTTCTGCTGTACTGCAGCTACATCCTCCACACTCTCAGCAAAGGCAGCAGCAGATAAGCGCAGACAGAAGTAGCTGGTAGGTAGGCAGAGAGCTGCTGAGGCGGCCCCTCCCCCCAATGTAAATTATTGGCCCCTAAGTGCCGCATCAAGGATCTACCTCGTTTCAGCACCACAACAGCTGGCAGCAGATGGACTTTAAAGGGAGTGGAGGGGGTGGGGAGGTTGTGGGATTTCACCTTGTTCCCACTTTCTTCTTCTTCGTCTTTTTTTCTTGTCATTCTTCTACAACATCTCGCTCCTACTAATTTCATCTAGCCCTGACTTGTCTTATTAATGAGATTCCCACACATACGTGAAAACACACAAGATCTGCTTTTAAGCTCAACAAAGTAAAAGCAAGCATCTCGCATCCACATGAGTAATGGAGTCTGCCTCGTTTTGCTTCAGATACCGAGGCTACTCGTCGGCATGTTCACAGCCCGACCTCTGAACTCTCTTTGCAATCTCGAGGCGGGAACGCCCGGCCGGACACATTCTGGGCTGTAGGAATTGCTATCAGCGCCGAGATGGGTACGTTTTGATCTGGAAGCGTCACTCAAGGCTTATTCGCCTTCCCTCCCCACGTCCCAATGACAGTCTTGCGTGCATGCAAATGTACAGCACAACCGCAGGGGGCTGATGGAAAGAACAACAAAGCTGCACTCACCCAAGTCTGTGTAATGTGATTTGCAGAACTGCTTTTGTCCGCCGAAGCACAGCTCGAACTGGGGCTCGTTTGACCTGCGTAAGGTGTGTCCATTCTCAAGGGCGGCAAAGGCGTCACAAGTGTAGCGGTACGTGATGAAGCCAAAATTGTCCCTGGTCAGGAATAGAAAATAAACACGTCAGAGTGTTGCTGTGGGGCAACAATGACTCAACGAGGGTGGGGGCCTTGTCGGTCATGACCATCGTTCTATTTATATGCAAAAGACAATCAATAAAGGTGCGTCTTTCAGGCTCCACAGGCCTAAATGCAGATGAATCGGGAGATGCTCTCAGATTGCAAAAGCTCTGTATTTGTCACCGGCCTCTACTGTAAGTTCAGCAGTTACAGTAGACCCCCCCCCTGTACGGTATGCTAAAACAACACTAAAGCCAAGATAGGACACAGATGCACACAAAGACAGAACATCCTGAGGCCTTACCCATCGTCCCTCAAATTCACTGCGCATTCCTCTATTTCACCGAAGAGTTCAAAGCGACGCTTCAGCTCCGTCCGGGTGCAGTCGGACCTCAGTCGCCCCACGTACACCACTCGTCTCTCCTCCTGCTCGTTAAGAGGACAGACAGTGCAGGGGGAAAGAGATTAAAAGGGGGAGTCTTGTTTTTCCTTTCCCCCTTCTCCTTTCTTCACCGAGCACCTAATGAATTGGTCTTGATCACTCCTGTGGATACTGCCGGCGACTTTGGGGGGCCCCCCCTGTTTTTGTCCCTCTTTTCCATCTGTCTGTTGTGTTCCCTCTGTGATTGGTTCAGCCTGCTTCCTCTTATCTGATTGAGTTGCAGTTTGGAAGCGCCTTCAATCTGCCTTGGCACTACAATTCCTCTTTCTCTCTGCAACTCATCAAGCAGAGGCAGAGCGATTTTTATCAAATGATGCCATGTCTTAAGTTTGGGGCTGCTTCTTCCTTTTTGTGAAGTCTAAAAATAAAGCAGTGGGAGTGACTCAGCTATATATCACAGAAGCCTGCTTCTTTCTTTCTGTTTTTCTTTCCAGCTTTCGGGAGTCCAACTCACAATACACAGCAAACTTGGCGATGTTCCCTAAATGAGAGGCCTGTTAATATTGTAAGGTTATTCATATCCAAGAGAGAGGAAGCATAAAGAGCAGCAGCAGAGAGCCTCGGGGCAAAAAAAAAAAAACCTGCTCCCTGAACCTCAGAGGACGTGAGGGTCATAGTGGAATAATTCAGGAACAAACTGCGCCAGGCTGGCTTTTGAGTATTTTAATTGCAGCTGCTAATCATATAATACAGTTGAGGCCCGAGGCTATCGTGTATGACTGGTATTATTTATTTATTCATTCATTTACTTGCCATTACTGGGCAAGTCCATTGAGGCCTGTTGGAATTCTGAAAGCTGTCTTCGGGGCAATAGTGACACGTATGGAAATCGGATGCCTGGCGCTAAACTCAAAGTTCACCTTTGCTCATTTGAGCTGCAGCTGAGGAAAGCAAGTAAAGATTAACCACGTGCGGCTGTCCTGTGCTTGGTCCCCTCTTTAATGTTGCACACTGTTTGGAGGCTAAAAATGTAGAGCGTAGTTGCTGACGGCTGATAAACAAGGCGGCCTTGGCGTGCCCGTCCCTTTGACAGCTCGAGCTTTACCGCTGGGAATCTTTCGTCTCTCCATCGCCGAGATCGTTCGAATTACTGCGCCACCTAACGTGTGCTTTATCAACGGGTGGTAGCAGCGCCATCCCGCTGGAAACCCGAGTAATTTCACACTGAGACAAGGAGAGCGGAGATAAGGGTGGAGAAACGTGATGTTCACTGAATCTGCATGATTTTTCTTTAAAGTAGATACAAAAAAAAGAAGAGATTGGAGTGGAATTAGTGGCTATTTCCTTCTTTTTATTTAAAATTAAAGATCCTCTCCTTTTTTTCTTTTTTTTTTTGCTCTCTTAGTTTTCATCTATTTTAACATTTTTGCCCCTGTGGTGTGATTAATAAGAGTCGACAGTGTTTCCAGACGGGAGACGTTAAAAATACACAACCCAGAGATAAAGAGGAAGGGCCTGTCGCCTGAATCATTCAGGAACTCACTTTGTATGTATTCTTTCAGCACGCACACACACAGGGAGAGAGACGCACTGTGGCACATGGCACCGGGCTGGAGGGCTGTGTCATCCCAAGTAATCTGTGCATGTCTGTGGGAGGTTTTTGTGCGTTGTGCCACAGCAGTGATTACATGTGGTCTTTTATCAGCTTTGTTGCAGGAAGACCCAAAGTCAAGCATCAAACCCCACCCCCACCCCTTTCCCCCTCAAAAAAAAAAGCTACAGAGGGACTGTGATGGTAGTTGTGTCAGCTGACTCACAATAGCTTTCTGCCTTTGTCTCTCTCGCTGCTCGGCCCTCTCGAACTCCTGCTTCTCGTAGTCCCGGCGGTACTCCTCCCTCTTCAGCCTCTCGTGCTGGTACTCCTCGTAGCTGTCATACCTGTGGAGACGAGGACATATTGCGAGATCACTCCCTCATCCTCTAAATTCGCCCTTCCCGTTGATGCTTATGAAGAACAATCACCAATATTTGCCGCGAGGGCTGCAAAGAGAAGGAGACGGACACGTTAATAAGATGTCTTTTTTGCCACCGCCACGATTGCGAAGCCCGCGAGTGAGGCCCGCGGGAGTGCCGGCGAGCAGCGCAGTCGGGGAGCCGAGCAGCTGCAACTGTCAGCACAACTTCACATGTCATTACTTTCTGCTTAGTTAGGGCTTCATCAAGAAGGAAAGTGCAACTTTCTCCCCCAGCCTGGAACAGTACGAGACATGTCCGTTAAGTTTTCGACTGATGAGCGACTCTCGGGCTTGTCGGGTGTCATTAGGCGCGTGGGTGCCAAATCAGCTCGGAGCACTGGGATGGTGTCAGTCTGTCTCTCTGTCTCTGTTTCAGCACAGCGCGAGTACATCTCTGCATATGAAATGGTCCCCTCTGCAGTGGCTCATGCAAAACTACAGAGGCAGTAAGTTGAATAAGTGGCATTATACAGCTGGGAGCGTCAGCTCACGGGTGCGGCACGAACGCGCATCAGTGTGATTCTTTTGTCACTCGTCTAATAAAACACGATCAATTAAACATATTTGCCCTGCATGTTTTCAACCCCCCCCCCGCACCCCCCCCCCTCCCCCCCATCCCCCAACCCATTGGACAGGATGTGGAAAGGCATTCACAAAGAACTCAAAGGATTCTGAGCGGTGACAGCAAAAAGTGGTGCTGTGCTTTCATGCACGCCATTAAGAAATCTTAAGAAGAAAAAACACACAGAAAAACCAAACATTTGTCGTGACCCGAAGCGTGTAACTAAAAGTTTTAAGCACATGACAAATTGAAGGTTAAATGATTCATTTAAAACAATCACCTTGGCCTGCGGCTCAGAGGAGATCGAGGCTGGGGGTGGGGGCTCTTGTGATTCCTGGAACGAAAAGCATTCAAATCTGTGCTGTGACGAGACCTGAAGGGAAAAATAAAGTTAAAAGTCACTTTTTTTGCAAAAACAAAGGAAACGCGTTCATACTGTTGCAAACGTGTGACATTTGGTTAATTTGCTTTTGGCTTTAAGAACTAAATTAACCTCTTAGATATGCACAGGGCCCATTAGTCTGCATTAAAGAGCATCGTCTCCTCTCCTTGTGCTGACCTAACACAACCCTCGGAAAATGTGCTTGATTTGCTGCAGGATTTTTATACGCATCTGCGCTAGCATACGTGCACGTGCTATCTATGTTGTATGAAGACGTAGTCAATACTTATGGCCTTAGTGGCCTCACTGTAGAGCTAGTTCCCCTACACTGCTCGAGCTTCTGATGCTTAAATATTTAAGTGCTGCTGAAGAAGGAAGACCTGAATAATGGAAGGAGAGAAGTTTGGGAAGCTCAGTGAAGCAAAGGAATGCCAGTTTGGAAAGATCAAGGATCTTATGCTGCGAAATCTTAAAACAGTGAGGAGGGATTTAGAGAATTATTTCCCTGAAATTCTGTTTATCTTCTCCTGCGTGGAACTATAACAAGCTTACTGCTCTGTCACGTTCAAACTCCAATCCCTATGCAGCGTTTTCAGAAAGCTTGTCAGTGTCGGATTTTGATGCAACGCCCTGAGACTATTACTGTATAATTTGTGAGCGAGAGCGAAGAACAAGGGCCCGAATAGAATAAAGTGATTCTATTGGCTCCGCGGAGTAAACTGACCTTTCAGTAATCATGCAAACAAACTGAGTCACAGCGGTGGAGTCGTACACTGGGAGTCACTCAATGAGCCGCTCCTGACAAACTGAATTTATTCACATCCCTCTCGGTTACTCCAGTTTGCCTCTGTTCTTTCACCAAAAGAACCCAACCAGAATCCCCCTCGGCTCTGATCAAAGGGAAGCATGGGAAATGTAGTTCTCCCAGAAAGCTATGATGATAGGAGTCTTTTTTAGAGAGGGGTTTGGAGACTATATTCCCACAGACTGATTCTCGCTTTCATCTCTGGGGATGTAAAAGACGAGGGTTTGCCACTCAGTAAAAACAACAGCTGCCGCTTAAAACAATAGCCCGAGCATCAAACAAAAAACGGGAGCATGCAAGGGAGTGAGTGAGAAGGGGTGGGTGGGTGAGAGTGTTAGAAAGACACTCAAATAAAACTCCCTGCCTAGAGATGAAAACTCACACTGTTCAAAAGTCCAGTGCCTCTGGCACCTTTCATGTTCTGTTTTTTTTCTCTTTTGTCCTTTGTCTGTTAGTTTAGGGGGGGACCATTCAACTAATCTTTTTCCCCCATTGTCAGCTCAGATCTAAGTATCACCTGGCATAAAGGCATCATCTGAGTCGTGTAACAACTGCAATATGGTTAGAATCTATTCCATCACAGAATAGCAGGAGGTGAAGAAACATCCTAAAAAGGCCAGGTCACGGTCTATCAGAGGCAGTTTTTTAAATATTCTGAGTCAAAATCACATGCAGAAAGGGAGAGTTGAAGGGCGTGACCATGTTGTTTTAAAAATGGGCATACAAGGTGGTGTAAACATTTCTGAGAAGTGGTTTCCTGCTTGCTATGAGTCCTGTTTAAACTGCATAACTTTGAGGTGGAGCAGCCAAGTGAAAGAACAAAAAAGGGAGAAGGGGGAAGAGACCAATAACTTACCAGGAGGACGGGCGTCTGTCGGGTGAGCTGGAGAGAGAGCGCCTGCGGTATCGTGAAGAGGAGCTGCGGGACCCAGACTGGGAACGGGAACGAGAGCGGGACCCGCTGCCGGCCCAGCCGGAAGGTCTGCTGGGTGACAGGAGCAGGGAGGAAGGTGGAGAGACAGAGCCTCGTGAAGGGGAGCAGCTGGATGGTGGGGAAGAAGAGGGAGAGCAGGGGGCACAGTCAAAGAGTAGATCCAGAGGGGTGCCCTCCCATGGAAAGAGGAATCGACTTTCACGGCTCTCGTCCAGCTCTAGTTCGTCGTGAAAGGCCAGAAACCCCGGGTGAAGGTAGCTGGAGGCAGGCAGCCTCTGGGGGTAGCAGTCATTCTCTCCCCCCTCGAGGGACTGAGGAGCTGTAGCATTGTTCGTTTTGCTGCTTGATTCTTTCTCCTGGCTACCCGGGCTGTAGAGGGCTTGCAAAGGGTAGCCAAAGTGCTTGTTAAGTTCTGCTCGGATTTCCTGGTCGCACAGGAGCTTTCGGCTGGTGGCGCAAAGATTGTGTTGGTCCCTGTCAATAGTGGCCTCTTGTGAGGGGATCTGAGCGGTTTGTCTGAGGGCGTGCTCCCCTAACCCCCGAACCTGGCCCGCCTCTCCATCCACAGACCCAAAATTCTGCTGTTTAGCCAAAAAACCAGGTGAAGCTGATGATGGAGGAAATGATGAAGATGACGGTGGCATGGCTGAATCCTTAAATTCCACATGCCTGCTCTCCACTTTGCCTTCAGCAGGCACTGGAGCATCAGTGGCACCTGAGGTGAATGTCATTTTCACAGCTGTGGTTGTGGTAACAGTGGCTGAGCCCCCATCCTTCTTATTACCAGCTGTTGCCTGGCAATAGTCATGGTCGCTGTAGTTACGGGGCGTTGCCCGCTTAGTGTTGCCGGTGCTGCGATACTCCTCAAGGCCGCCCCCCACTGCGTGTTGAGTGACGGAGTAAGGGAGGGTGGTGGTTGCTTTGCTCAGTTGGGCGTAAAGCTCAGTCTGTTCAGGACCCTTCCTGGTGGGGCCCCTGCCTGAGGCACCTGGGGCCGGGGCCAGAGCGCCGGGGCCCAACTCACTCAGCCTGGCTCTTTTGCATGCCAAGGCCGAGGAGGAACATGAAGACAACTTGGTTTTGAGAGATGCTTTGAAAGGATTCTCTTGACTGGCTTTGTGTGGGGGCGTGGTAGGTGGTGTCAAACCTGCGAGGGGAGGAAGAGACACAGGTTGGGTTGGGAACACTAAAATGAAAATGGAATCATAACGCAAACCTCCCCACCTAGCCCCTCCCTCCTCTGCCTCCTCGCCCACACTCCTCTATAAACTCCCGGGTCAGTTTATGGACAGTGGACACAGATACATGCCTGATTAAAATATTCACTTTCCCTCGGCCTAATCCTATTTTATTGCAATCTTGACAGATTAATGTAATGCTTGGTGTAACTTGATATGGCTGCACTGTAATACGGATGACTTGCCATTCTCTACCTCGCTGACCTTGAAAAGATCCATTTTCGTGGAAAAAGAAAAAAGAAAAAAATATAACCCCGGAAAGGACAAACGTAATGCATCTGATAGCAGGCAGGAAAAAAATTAAAGTGAATGTATCATATCCCTGCCCGCTTCATAGAAACGTCTGGTTTCATTCCGATGAATTGGCCGCCGTCCTGCGCCAAGACCCTTTTGCGTGTGTGTGTGTGTGTAGTCTCAAAGAACAATTGTGTGTGTGACGCAGTGCATGTTTAAAGATTAGCCAGCACCATCCACATTTTCTGTAAGAAGAGAACTGGATGTCACCGCTCTTAATGTTGCCTTAGCAAGCCTGGTGGTGGATCACTGGAAGCACTGGGAATAGGTTAACATTCATTTCAGATGGCATGTCCCTATTGGATGTGCCCCCCGCCTCCTCTTGCTTCCCTCTCCCTCACAGATTTACAACCAGACAGATGGCAGTTATATGGGAAGTCCTGAGATGAGCCCACTTTATAGCATTGTTAATGCACTCACACAAACAGCCGACACCATTACTCTCGTTCTCCCCTTTCCTCCTCTTCCTCGTCGATCGCCCCCTTTTCGCTTTAGTTCGAGTCTGCCGTTCCGCCCTGTTCTCTCTTCCCGTCTGCCACCTTCCACCAGATCAATCTCTCCTTCTCCGGCTCTGTCTCCCTGCATCTTTTCCTGTTTTTATCTTCCGCAGAACAAATGTGCCCACACACGCAGGCACACTCATCGCTAACAGACTCTCACTGGAGTCAAACTCAGGCACTTTGAAACACCTACGCTCTCCCCTCTTCTTTGCCATTCTTATAATGCAGATCATTCTTCCCTTGCTGGCGAATTGCACCAAATGACAGCTATTAGTATCAAATCCCGTGTTAGGATGTGCACCGGAAAGACAGCCTGGCAACGAGCGTGTGGGATCGCAAAACATAAATGTGCATGTTTCGGCTGTGTTTGGAAGGCCTGATCCACCAGCTTATCATCCTACTTATTATCTGGATGTGCCTATAAGTAGGACTGCAAGCGCCCACTCCCCTTCCTCCCTTCCTTTCCTTCTCCCTTCTCGCTCTCCTCTGTCTCGTTCTCTCGCTCACTTCCCCCCAATCCTCTTCCCCAGTCATGATAGCGAGACAGACATATATTTGCATTATGCCAATTAAATGAGCTTTGGAAATGAGAAAGGAGAGACGCAGAGAGGGAGAGTGGATGCTACACAATGCCTGAAGAACTTCTGTTTCACCAATCAAACGCCATCTGTCCAAAACAACGTACGCACGGGGTCATAAACTAGGAGCCATTAGCGATAGGCGGAAATAAATCAGAATTAGATAAAAATGTGCCTCTCAGTCAAACTTGCTAGTGATGGATGATCTGCAGGTGTGAGCACCAATCATGCGGGGCCCGGAGAGAAAGCAGTGGCGCAGCGATCGAGGCAGAAAGAGGCAAGGTTTTGGGATTTTTGGGGTTTTTTTTATAGTTCTATTTTCTCGTCCAGCTGCAAATTGTGAGGGGACCTCGGAGCGAACAACAACTCCAGGCTTAAAGAGTTGATCCAGCAGTAAGCTAGGCAAATAACAACACACAGACCACCTCTGTGTCATGAGATACAGTAATTAAAGACAACACAGCAGTACAGGGTAAATCTATTAGCTTGATAGAGATTAGGTCTGAACAGTCAGATCCCGGGGGGGTGCTCACCGTACCTCTCCGAGAAGGGTCAAGAAAACATGCAGTCAAACAGTCCAAACCTCGCTATTAATAACTACTAATCATCATTCGAGTAGGTACAAAGTGTACAAGTCCTCACAGTTAAATTTATCTTTCTTTTAATGAGTGGTTACTACTACTACAACTCATCAAAAAGGCATAAAGTAATAAACTACTGGAAGCAAGTCAAGGAAAATTCCACCAGCGCATGGTCGACTTGCCCTGGGAGTAGAAAGGTGGGACCGCCCACCTGGTAGACTGCCATTTGATTATCAGTAACACCCCCCTTTATCTCTATTGTAGTGGGATGATTCTCTAAATCTACGAAGGAACGTGTAAGTCCGAACCTAAAAGCTGACAACTCTGCTTACTGGGATCTATATCCATCTGGCTCGTACAGCGCTGAGACTCAAAAGCTAATCTCTAAGTGAGAAAGGCGCTCAGCAGCCCAGAGCTTTCTGGACTAATGACTTTCCTGCTAATATTCAATCCTACATTTTCCACAGAACGGGTTTAAGTCAGGTGAAAGGCTTTATTTGACCGTGCTTATAAAATGGATGTGTTGGAAAAGAACAGACGGCTTAGATTTGGCCACAGGTCAACAGACTCGCCCACGTGCAGTAAAAGCGGAAGAAATATTAACTGCGTTTGATTGCCACAGAGATTAAGGGGCATTGCTCTTTCCAATCTTTAGGTCTCAACAGACATCCCCCCTCTGACCCTGAAAGCTTATCTACATAAATGGGTTAAACAGCACTTCAGCCAAACTGAGAAGGACAGGGGGATACCTCTGGAGGTTTGCTTTTCCACCCCCACAGGAGCTAAGTAGAAGACAGGGGGTATTATGAGGACCATTTCCCTTGCTAGTAAATAAATAGACAAAAGGGCCAGGGCTGTTATTTTGTTTTATTGACCTTAGGTAATTAATTGTAAGAAAACGTGGTAATTACTAACATCATTGACATAAAGAGCGAAAGAAATGGATGACCTGCAATACTGCAGCTTTTCCCCTCACATTTTCATCCCTTTTGTCTTTTAAATACCAATTACATATAGTTTTTTTTTTCTAATTTAGCTGAGCATAACTCAATAACACGAAAGGATGAAGTGACTGATAATGAAGAAATATCCCCAGTCTGGCAACATTTACGCAGCTGCCTGTGTCCACAGGGAATTTGAGTAAGGAAGGCGCTGATCATACAGGCAAAACTCAATTACACAGCAAAACCCAATGAAAACAGCAGCCATCTGAATTTTCCCTGCCACGTGTAGGCTAAAGCTCCTTCTACTCATACACTGCTTTCCATTTAATTTGACCACGTATGAACATGTTGGTTTCATGTATGAATGAGCCTCCTGGTCCCATTACTGCAAAGGTGATCTTTCAAGTTTGGACCTCATACACATTCACGCGTCGCTTTCACGACTGCAAAACGCCCCCCGTGAATTGCTCAGCTCAGTAAAACATGACTGTTAAGGAGAAGCAGTTGAACAGCACAGGAATAAAATTAACGCGTGCGTAACAACAGCTCTCGCTCGCTGAGCCCGCGTGATTGGGGCAGGGGCAGCTTTCTCAGCAGCACCGTGCAGCGCGCGAAGACCCTGCTCTTTGCAAAGTTTTCAAACACCTGACTATACTTCACTCGTGTCCATGCGGACCATACGTGCAACGATTCCTTTGCACTTCTTTGTCACTGTCGCGGTTATGTCTGAATGAGCTTTAATGCAGCCGTGACCTACGTCTAAATGACAGGATGCCATTACTTGAACAGATTGATGAAGCCAGCATAGTTGTGTATTCTGCGCCTGGAGAGGGCTTGAGTGAGCTGTCAGTCAGACAGCATTAGGATCTGGTGGAAGGAAAGGTATATTAACTCTTCACTAACAAACCAGTGGGCATGGTAGGGGAATGGGAGGAGTTTGCTAATAAAAGCCGAGGAGATTGGAAGCCCTAATCAATACTTAGGCGCATAAAATTGATCTCCTTATGTCTTCACCTTGAACTCTGAACTGTGATGGAACTATCAAGGCTCCCGAAAGGAATGAACCCATTACTTCCTACCACAGCTATAAGTACTCGGCCGGTCATTTAAAAAATTTTTATATTGTCAGAAAAAGTCTGCTTACCTGGGGTTCCAGCAATCTCCACACTTAATGTGCGTTCAGTGGTTTTGTTCTCAAACGGTGATCCCTTGTAGTCACTGGAAGACAAAATAAAACGTAGAACGTCTTACTTCACAGGTGAAAGTAAGACTAAAGAAAGATGTAATGGAAATGAATCACAAAAATGCCTCAGGTTGGATTCTAGTCTATATAGCTTTCTTTGATTTTGTCTTTTTTCTGTAGTTTCCATGTTGCCTTTTTTTTTTTTGCCTAGAATAATGTGGAAAAACTTCTCACACTTACTTTGGAGACTCTGGGGTCAAAGGAAGTGGCAAGGTGGTTGGTTTGGCTGCAGAACACAAAGGAGCATGGGTAATTATTGATCTAAGTATAACACTCATGGTAGAAGAGAACAGATCCACAAGTCTGCAACAATTAATCCCAAATTGGCTCAACAAATGCAAATATTACTACGAAAAAAGAAATAAAAAAAACACCCATTTCTAGTTAGAAAGCCTTACTATGGACACTATTGTACAGAGTATATCTTTTTTTAGATTGACCCCATTTAAAAAATTTATTCTCTTAGGATAGACTGTTCACTCTGTGAGGCAGGATGAAGTGATGGTACGTGTTTCACAGGTGTCTAGACACAGACACCACGCTCAAGACAACAAACAGATCGAAATGGAAAAAGACATACAGAGAGAGAGACGATGCCACAAACAAGACACATGACTGTGGGTGAGCCCCTCCCTAGACAATAAAGTCATAATCGCATGCACCAACAGCAGAGGAGGGGGGAGAAAAGAAAAACAAAAAGAAGGAAGAAAGGAGAGTCAAGGAAGCTTGTGCAGTTGCCCGAGGCTCTGGCCGGCTTGTGCTCCAGCTAAGAGAAGTGTGGCTTTAGTAGCGCGATTCTAGAGAGCAGCACCGGGGCTCTGAGTCTAAATGTACATATTCAGCACACTCAGCTCAATCAGCCAAAGATGATTCAAGGATTGGCTTTGCGAATACAAGACGTACAGTAGCAAGACATGGCTCACCCCTTTTTCCCACCCCCTCCTTTGTTTTTTCAAAGACAAAAAAAAAAACCCCACTCATTTTTGAAAATTGAAAAGAGTGCCTCTGCGACTAGCAAAAAGCATTGGCGAGCAGGCTGTTTTGCTGTCATTGTTGTTGATGCCCTAACAATGACTTGTTAGATTCAAATTAGGACAGGGGGTTAGTCGTGAAATCAAACTGGGAAGTGGTTAGAGCAAGAGAGGGAGAAAAGAGAGCAGAGATAAGGCCAGTGGGGGGGATGCAGTTCATGATTACCTAACAATGGGTGGCCCTGGTCATCGGGGTGCTCGCTGAGTGCCTGCATGTGTGGGTGCCCTTGCCCTTGTATGATGCAGGGAGGGGTGGGCTCTGCAATGCTAGTATCTGGGAGGAGTGGGCTCGGTGGGCCCTGTGAGAGCACCGCTGCGGGGCTGCCCATGACATGGTCATCATCATCATCATCACCATCAACAACAACACCATCATTATCATCATCATCATCATCATCATGGTTAACATCCTCCCTGTAGCCCCCCTTGCTTGGCCACCCCAGATCTAGTCCAAAGGCCATGTCTAGCCCTGGATCTGGCTGGTTAACCCAGCTCTCTAGGTCAAAGGTGAGAGGTGACAACAGGGGCCTTGAATCAGGCTCCTCAGCTTGATTTACTCCCTTGTTTCTATCATCAGTGGTCCCTCTGAGCTCCTTCTCCTCCTTAACCTTAGAAAAAGCCCGGGCTGGACTCTCAGACCTCGCTGCTAATTTGCTCTTACTGCTCCGTAAAGGGGTAATGGGAGTATGCGGGAGGACACGGGCCTGATACTGAGTGGGCCTGTTTTTGGAGGTGAGCAGCTGGCTAAGTAACGGGTGCCCCGGCTTCTCGTCTCTTTTCTTTATAGTCACTGTGATGTGCCTATGTGGCGCACGGCTGGCACTGTTACTGTTGCTACGGCCTTGCCTGCCAAAGCCCTCACTAGCCTGAGTGGCGCCTGCAGCCTCTCGGCAATGCTCACAGCTGTGACTCGCCTCTCGGGGAGGGAGAGAATAAGAGTGCATATACCTAATAAACCTAGCGGCGGCCAGGCGGCCCGCATCGCCTGGCGGCCTTCCTTCTTCACTGGGCGGCCTGTGCTCCAGTTTGGGGCGGGCATGGCCGCAGGCGGAGCTTCTGTGGCCAACAGGGATAGTAGCACCCTCCGACTCCTCAAACCCGTCATCGTGAGCGCAACGCTGCCACTTCCCAGCCCCAAGACCAGCCATACTACACTCGCCTCCAGCCCGGCTCTCACCTCGCTGGTGATGCTGCTGTGGCGGCTGCTGCTGCTGCTGTTGATGAGACGGCACAGCCGGCTTCTTCTTGGAGGTGGTAGAGGAAGAGGAGGAAGAGGTGGAGGAGAGGGAGGAGAACGAGGAGGTGGATGACGAGGACGGTGAAGAGGAGGAAGAAGAGGCACCGAGACCCATGCCACTCTTGTCCCTGCTACTAGCACCCCCCCAGGCGCTCTTGGCTTCGCTGGCTTTGGCGTGGAGGAGGATGTCATCGGTGGCGGTTAGGTATTTCAGCAGCTCGGTGCAGGGCCGCCTCACCGGGCGGTTCTGTTGGCTGGAGCCCCCTCTTGCTTTGCCGTTCCAGGGGCTCTCCGTCTGCGGAGGGACGAGCAGAGAGAGAGCGAATGACTTAGTTAGCTCCAATAAAAAGTTTTGCACAGTGCAGCTGATCTAGTTGCGAGAAATGTTAAGTATTTTATTTGGAACAAAAACAAAAGTAGAAAAGAGACGGAGGCATGGAGAGCCTAAGAGTGTGACTCAAACAGCTCGAGCGCAGTGGTTGCCCAACTGTCTAGGAGGCGATGGTGGGAGTGCTGTCCGCCCATCATTTTAATTGCGTGGCCCCCCGAGCGCCACCGCGCCACTCTGTACGCACACCACGTCCTCCGGGAGTCCTCATTCGCTCTGCTCCAGAAACGGATGACTCAAAGACACAGTATGAAAATAGACTCTGTGAAGAAGGGTTGACGCACTGCATGTGCAAACACGGTACGCAGAGCTAACATATGTCTGCGCCGCATTCACCACACAGTGAGATACAGATGTTCTTTACATTGTGATGATTTTGTGCATGCGTTAAAGCATAACAAATGCAGATTTCAGACAGTCCTACCGAGCAAGAGAACACAATTAAGTGCTATATGCTGATATGACACTGAATGCACAGTATGCCACATTCTGGCGTGAAATCCAAACGGGCGAGAGTGAAATAATCCCAATTTTTCATTTAGCAGAATTCACAAAACCTGTGATACTTACGCTGACTAAAATTAAATCTTAATCAAACCCACCCCTATAGAAAAACACTCTCTTCAGAGCCATCTAATGAGTACATCAAGTCTGATATTTTGATCTTGTCGTCTCAAGGCATCAATCTCGCCGCAAGAGCGCCTGTCGCTGCTTTTTTTTTGTTTTCTTTCTTTTTTTTCCCCGTCCTCCAACAGGCACCATACCAAGGCGGATAAGTGGTGGAGCTAATGAGACAACGGTGCCGACGCCTCGCCTGGAAAGCCCAACAGCAATCAGCCTGTTTTCATTACGAGATGGCCCCCTGGGACAGTAGACTGCTAGAGCAGAAGTCTAACATCTTCTAAAGGCGGCCACCAAAACAGGCAAAAAAAAAAAAAAAAAAGTGAGAAGGAGGGAGGGTGAGCAAGTAGCGAGAGAGAGCAAGAAAAGAGTGAGAGAGATAAACAAACACAAACAGGAAAAAAAGTGTGTGCACGGGAGTGAAATCAACAGCATGTGCGTGTGTGTGTGTGTGTGTGTTACTCCCTACCTTGACGACGGCAGGTGGTGGTCTGATCCGGTGGTTGCTGCTGGCTGCATGGTTCTGTGCCTTGCCACCTGTGTATTGATTATAGCTGAGCTGGGAGTTTGCGGGTGCCAGAAGGAGTTTCTTCAGCTGCGAATGGACCCAAACAGAACCAGAAAGGTGGGAGAGGAAGAAGGAGGAGGAGGAGGAGCAGGGAGTCAGCGTGGGTTATGCAAATGGCACCTTTTAATTCAATTCGACTTTATTTAAACAGTGCCAGTTTACGGCGGCAGTCATTTCAGAGCACTTTACATTGTAGGGTAAAAGATTTACAATGGCAGCCTTTCAGTTGCTTTCATTTTTTAACTCTGCAGTTAAAAAAAGACTTTTTTTTTTTAACTTAAGTGCATGCTACGTGACATGAAAAGTCAAGCCTCTTTTTTTTTTCCAGTGCAGGTGTTTTTGTGTACACACCACTAGGCTTCTCTAATGTGATTGAATAAACACGCTCAGGCATTTGGCTAAAGGTCATTTGGAAGGGACCAGCATGGAATAAAATGGACTACAATGTCACATAACATAACGTTTTAGGTCAAAGCCTATAAGCTAGAGAAAAACCCAGATGGCACGGACGTGTGTAAAAATAACAGCACCAAGGTAGGCCGAGTTCTTATTTGTGGTGGTGGGGGTGTTTGCCAAAAGAGATGACTCCGGCACAGGGGGATTAGCCGAGACCCTGCTGAGAGCAGACGAGATGAGATAGATTTCCTTTTCCCCCCGACTTTCATTACGTCCCGGCTTGATTTCAGGGCCCGTGGCACTGTGTCAGCCGAAGTTGTCCCCAACCACAGCGTTCGTATCACTGAACTGGCGCCACGATAGCGCTGTTATGTAATTAGCGCTGAGCAGCAAACACACTGATCCTTTCCACTCACTTCCCTACTACTTGCATCTGCATCCCTGCTTGCTGCGACTGCACATAAATGAACACATTGTGGCAAATACAGAGTGTGAAGTCAGGCAAACGTCACACAGACAAATGACCGCTACTGGGGTTCTGGTCTTGTTGAGAAGTCTTATCTGATGTGTGCTTTGGACTGCCAAAAACACAGCGTACGTGTGAGTACGTGCGAGACCGGAGGTCAGGTCTCGGGTATAACTCATGTCTGAACTGTAGGATGGTGCTGGTGTGAGAATCGTGATAAGGAAGAGCTGTAGCTGTTACCAGGGAAGGCTCCTCGGGCTCTGGGGTGCGCGGTGAGCCGTCGGGAGAGGAGGGACAGCTCTGGTCACTGGCATTGGTCACGTCCCCATCTGCCAGGGCCTCAAACGAAGGCAATCCGTCCTCATCCACCGGGATGCTGTCCAGGGTCTCTGTAAGCACTGCCAGCAAGTTGGCCTCATTTTCTTCATCTATCTTCTTAGGAGGGGGGTAGAGGGGGGGTAGGTGAGAGGGAATACAGAGACAAAAAAGAGAGGGGGAATGGGACATTTTAGTCAGAAGAAGAAGTTGCATCCCTTTTTCTTTATTTCGGGGAAGTAAAGGTGGTGGGTGGCTTTCATTGTTAATATAGAAGACATTTGTTTTTTCTCATTTTTTTATTTTTATTTTTGTGCAGCAGCTGAGCTCACTGCATTCTGGCAGCCTTTTTTACAAAAACACTAAAAACCCAAACAAAATTTGCCTCATGTGCATGTGAGTCAAGCCTGTCACTCATATTTTAAGCGAACAGCTTACTGGACCAAAATAATATCTCCCCCAAGAAACCCATTACCAACGCTGACAAGTAGCAAGTATCTGGGGGAAGACAGCAATGGGTTGGGGCAGGCTGCGGTATGGAGGGGTTTATGGTGTGTGTGTGTGTGTGTGTGTGTGTGTGTGTGTGTGTGTGTGTGTGTGTGTGTGTGTGTGTGTGTGTGGGTGGGGGGGGGATAAAAGGAAACAATGCGCAGAAGTTCGCTCTTCTCTCTCTTCAGCCCACAGCTTCGAGAGTCGTCGCTTGCCGACAAGATGTTTGCGAGCGGCCCTCAGATAAGGAGAAATTACGACTCGCCAAAGCTAAATAAATCTGATTTATTTAAAATTGCTGGTGTGACAGGCTGACATTCACAATGGGAGGGAACTCAGCTTCAACACTTTGCTATAAATAAAGCTTGTTCTTGCTACTCGGACCCCTTTTTTGAAGTACAGGAGAAGTTGTGCGCTCGGAGCTTATAAATGTGTGAGGAGTAAAGACAGAGAGATGAATGTATGGAGAAGGCCTTGAGATGGGGAGGGTGAGGTGTGAGCTGCCAGCTATTGACCGGGGATAATAACGGCATGCGTGTCGGAAAAAAAAAAGACAGAAAAACAAAGAAAAAGGAGAACGTATATAGATCAATGTTAAGACTGAGAGTAATGCAGCTCACATGACAAAGGGGAGCGTGCGAGTCCATGTGAGGAACGACTGTGTCTTTTCTCTCGCTCGCTCTCTTTTGCATTGACAAGTGACGACAGGAACTTAAGGTTCCAAGGCCATAAAAACCCCACGGGGCTTCGGGACAGCAGAGAGATAAACAGCCTCATCACCCTGGGACGTTCTGTGGCCAGCCCAACAAGAGCAAATCCCTTCAAGCACGCGATAGGATTCACGTGGCTCGGCGATGGCACACGGCCATCATTACGCCTCTCAGATATCCACGCTGTTCCTCAGAAAAATCCCACATGCGCACGCTTCTATCTACCCTCACTTATTTAACACAATTACACACACAGCATGGACGCCGCTGTTTTGGATCTGCCGCCGAGATAGCGGCCATTTTAATGCCTCAACCCCCACCCTCCCCTCCTCCAATTTTCATTTACAGATGACACAGATATCTTGGACGTTCACTTAGCTAGCTAACAGTGAGGAAAACGTTAATCTGATGTTTATTGAGTAGATTTTCTCCTAACAACACGAACACTCAGTCATTATTAAAAAATGATAAAGGGGACATATTTCACAGAGATAACGCGGCGTAGGCTGGGGCTGTGCTGCATTGGCAAGCACATGCTTTGCAGGAAATTGCTCTGTATGAGGTGGCGTGCTGTTTAATTACTTTCAAGAAGCTTCAAAATCCACTGTGCTGGAACCCCCGCGCTATTGAAATGCTCACCGTTTTCCAGCATCCCAAGTTATTACCTGAGCACTAAGCGGATAGGTATTAACTGCTGATAAAGCCGGAGCCTTGGCTTAACCCAAACGCACATCCTAGCATGAGAAATTAAAATTTAGGAGCAATTTCAGATGATCAAAACCGAGTCTTTAATGAACTGGCCTTCTGGTTAGGCACTCATTAACCATTCAATCAATGCTCCGTTTAAGGCGTGGCTTTATTTGCCTCGCAAGAGCGACTTTAAACCAATAAATCTATATTGGGAAGAAAGTGCATTACATTAAATGTTGGGAGAGCTGTGCAGGCTTTGTTATGTCATGGTTTGAAAGGGATTGGGGCATTTCTGCAGACTCAAATGTAGTCCTGTTTAAAAAAACACACACATACACACACAAAAAATCCTCCACCAATTGGCAGACTCCCACAGGCGCACTGTATCCCCAAAGATAACCCAGAAGGGACTCTCGTATTCTGTAAGAGACACTTGTGAAAACCCTGAGTCGTGACGATCATGCAACAGCCACTGCTGCGGCTCTAGTGGAGGCACTCATAGGCCAAGTGGGGATTTGAGAAACTGGGGTAAAGAGCAAACCTCTGCTCTGGAGAGAGAGAGAGGATGATCTAATGCCTCTGTCCACGAGGACGAGCTTTTCCACGCCAGCTTAAAGACCACACCTTGTGCACCAGAGTCAATCCACTGGCAGCGACTCTCTGGCCACTTGTTTATTTATAAACAAAGTCTCCATGTGGGTGGACCTCAGAAGCTATGGCACCCAAAGGGGGTAACACCAGCACAACCTAGCACCTCGCTGACGGCCCGCGTCCGCTTATATTGATTACTACAGCAGCTGCTGAGAGGGAAAAGAGGACAGAAAGAACAAAGAGAGGAGAGAAAAATTGTCTCGGCGGGAGCACTTTCTCGTCCATCCCGCTTAATGGACCTCACCGAATTAAAGAGATCTTAACAATCCTGGGCTAATTGTGGGATCACAATATATTAACCCCACTCCAATTCTAAAGGGTGCCATTTTGCAGGAGTTTTATTCCAAATGCTTCAATTAGCCATAAAACATGCTGGCAAGTGCTGGCAGAGCTTCTCTTTACCCCCCGCTCCTCCTTCACCCCAGCCTCCCCCACGCTGGAGCAAAGAAAGCCAACTTCAGTTGTTCATTATTAGGTGAGGCCCTTTTGTTATCAGACAGGCTGTCTTTGAGATTGTCCTTGCCTTTAACTCTTTTATTGAGTTCTACAGCACAGCATTATGTTCCAGGAGATACTATTCACACGGGCTGATAACGGAAGGTGAAGGTGCTGCTTTAGACAAACACTCGCTCCTGCACGCCGGGGCAAATAGCCAAATTAAAATCTGCTAATTGCTTCCCGAGGATTCCACGCTTCTTAGCGAATTTGCCAGGGATCAAATTTTAACGGGGGCAATGGATGATTTACACGTTTAAGAAGAACCTAAAAGTGTTTTGAAAGTGCCAGAATGACAAACCTGGTGGCTGAGTAACATCGGGACGGGGTTTAGACGGGCTAAACAGCCCCTCCGCAATCTTAAATTGAGAAGCAGAACACGTGACAGACACTCTGGGAGCGCAAAGATAAAATATCTCCCATAAAATGGGTCATCTAGTATTTAAAGTGCTGTTTATTCTCGCTGCCTCTTCCTGCTCTTTCTTTCTGTAAATACAAGCACGCCAACCAGTTAGCGCAGACAGAAAACGTGCTTAATAAATTGGCCACAAAATTGGGTGGTAGGGTTAAAGCTACGCCCTGACAATTTAATTGCTTTGCTCCATCTCCATCTTTGTTCTCCCCACCACCTCCAACTCTGCTCCCTTCTCTGTCAGATTTCAAAAGCGTTCCCTTGGATGAGGTTAAGCTTGACACGGGCCAGACCTAATCATGGCACAATCAGAAACTGAAGGGTGGGTGTGTGTGTGTGCAGCATGTGGGGTTGTGGTATCAAGTCATCACATCTTGACTCTGCCAAGAGAAGCAGCCTTGGATTTGATAAACAAATAATGTCATTCTGTGTTATTACCCCCAGCCCCCAGATTTCAGAGGAAATAAATCAAAGTCAGGCTTGCCGTTAAGGCGTTAGTCAGGCCTGACACGTCGGCTGGTCACACAGGCACAACATATGGCAGCGGGGAAGGAGAGAGAAAGGAGAGGCAGGGAGGGTGAGGTACAACACGGCGCGCGGTGGAGAGACAAATCATGGCAGCCACCAGAGACGTCTGGCCATTTAGCATGAGCTTACTGAGATGGAGAGAGGGTGATTATGGCCTATACGGAGCGATGAAACCATACATAACACTGTTAAGTTCCTGTGAGTGTGTGTGCGCGCGTGGCCGTCTGCGCGAGCGAGGCGGCGGTGGCACACAGTCTGATGGTGTTCCAAATCATAAAACTAAATGTTAAACCTCAATTGTGGTCAGGGCTGTGAATGTTTCACGACATGTAGCTGTGAACTGAACACTCATGTCATTTTCCATGTGACTACAAAGTCAACAGAGCATCTCGTTATTTAGAAACCCTTTCCAAAGCAAATGATCCTATGAAGTAGATATGGTGGCTCTACGTGTTCTGGACACACACCCAAAAAGAAAATAAAAAAAATCATAGTACTGGTAGTATAAAATCTTTTGCTTTCTAAATGGAGACAAGCTTGTCCAGCCCCGGCACCAGGCAGCTGATTTTAGCCTTCCCCGTCCTACTTAGCTGTATTTCCATAACTGGTCTGGATAATCCTTTTTTATCGGGCACAAAGTCACTATTTTCCATTTAAACAAAAACGGCATCTCTGTAAATGAGACAGTGATGTCACAGGAGTCGACTGCTTAGATGCCAGATGCCTATCCGGGTTTAGAAGGCTACGTGAGTTATAAATCAGCGAGGAAACGGTTCGAGCCATCAATAAGGAACAGGATGTGTGTGCGCGCGCGGAGTTGATGCATCTCCGGGGAACCATTTGAGACTGTTACAGCACTATCAGATGAGTTGATGGGGGAATGAGAGAGGAAAAAGGGAAAGTGAAAAGAGGGGATATCTTTCTCTGCGTTTGTGTGTGTGTGAGACAGAGTGAGCCGAAGAGAGAAAGAGAACTCTTGTTACACTTTTTGACACAGGCCAGATCCGATTGTGACACCTACCCAAGGGATGTTAGCAGTGCTGTTCTTTCTGGTTCTGTGACGGGGGGAAAAAAATCCTTTGACTGGTAACCTTGCTGCTCAAACTCACCACCTGAACTCTGTCACACATCTGCTGAGATCAGCT